TGACATACTTGAAGTGGTTTGGCTAGCCATGATTGACAAGAGATTAAGCTAATCTTGGGTTTCATGCACAGGCTTGGACAGGGGAAGCTGATTTTTGCTTATTTGTATTTTCTGTACCAATGGGAACAGGTAGCATGTTTGCAGAGCCTGGTGGAGGAGGGCTGAGCATTAACAGTAACAATTCACTAGCTTTCTCCAGTCAAACAAAGGATTGTGCTGTGGGAAGCAAAGGATTATGCTATATGCAGTTTGTTGCATTTACAGTCTGAAGGCCTGCTTTCGCTGCAGAATCATCTAAAAACCTGGGTGATGTCCCTAATCCAGTTCCCATCCACACAGAGAAACCTCACACCGAAGGCTTCGCACCTGAGCTGGCTGACTAAACTGGAACTGCAGGCTAACACATAAGAGCTGCTTGCTCTTGGGCTGATAACCCACTCACTATGCAGTAAATGCAAGCTAGACCACTCACATGCTGATCGTTCTTTCATTGCCTTCCCACAGTTCTCTCCCGTGTGCCCAGAAGAACAGACAAGCTCACTCACAATTAGGTTAGATAGACATCTGTCAGGGGTGGTGTAGACAGAGCTTGGTCCTGCCTTGAGGGCGGGGGGCTGGACTCGATGACCTCTCAAGGTCCCTTCCAGTCCTATGATTCTATGAATTCATTGGGAAAGATTTATAGAACAGCTCACTTTAGTGCAGCTCTAAGAAACTTGGCATATGGTCCCACAAGTGATAGCAACACATACCGGGGAGCATTGTTGAGTGAATGCAGTCAAGTATGAATTTGCAGTGTGGGTGCTCAGACCTGAACTAGACTAACCTGGGTGTTGAGCTGCAGAGTTAAGTATGCAGTGAGGACTATCACTGAGGTTTCTAGTAGACTGAATCTCCAGGAATTCCTTTTTTATTCTTTTCATGGGGAATCCATTCACCTGCTATTTTACTTCACTTGTTACTATTTAGATTAGGGGATAGTTCCAGCTGTCCAACAGAAGTGAGTCTGCTTTTATACCTTTGGCTTCCTAGCTACCTGAGGGCCTGATCTAACTCTTTCAAGTCAATGGACAGACTTTCATTGACTTCAGGGAGACTTAGATCAGGCCCTAAGGGCCTAGTCCTAGGCATGGTCTGCACTTAAAACTTAGGTTGACCTAGCTACATCACTTAGGGTTGTGAAAATTTCACATCTACACATCCTAGTTGGGACAACCTTACCCCTACTCTAAACACAGGCCAGGGCAAGAATTCTTCCATCAGCCTAGCTCCTGTCCTATGAGACGGTAGATTTACTAGAATGATGGAAAAACCCCTTCTGTTGCTGTAGCAAGGGTCAAAACTACAATGCTACAATGAGCTTCATCTGTGCTGCCATAACACTTGTGGTTCAGAGACATCCTCCCACTGAAATCAGTTATAAAACTCCCACTGTGTGTTCATTGAACTAGATTCAGGCCTCTAAGCTGTGCTCTGAGAAATGGATTCTCAAAGTCAAGAGTGCGCGCCACTCTGACTTTTTCAACTGCAACAATGCTGAGTGGGGTGTAAATATGAATATAATCAGCTAGCCTGCCATATACATAGATTTTTCTAGCAAGAGGATGGGGATGGGACAGGAGCAGATGCAGTGGAGTTGCTTCCCTAAATAAATTGTCATTGCAACATTTATCAGATATATGTCCCCCACCCCCAGGCTGTGTCTAGACTGCCCAGTTTTTCCGGAAAAACTTGCCAGCTGTCTACACTGGCCGCTTGAATTTCCGCAAAAGCACTGATGATCTCATGTAAGATTGTCAGTGCTTTTGCGGAAATACTATGCTGCTCCCATTCAGGCAAAAGTCTTTTTCCGAAAAACTTTTGCACAAAAGGGCCAGTGTAGACAGCAGAGATTTGTTTTCCGCAAAAAAGCCCCAATTGCGAAAATGGCGATCGGGGCTTTTTTGCGAAAAAGCACGTCTAGATTGGCATGGACGCTTTTCCGCAAAAGCATTTCCGGAAAATCATGCCAGTGTAGACGTAGCCTCAGTGTTTGGAAATTGCCTCTAGTCTTTTAGTCTCAGTGGAAAGGCCTGACTTTTTCATTTAAAAATTCACTTTAAGACAGATGAGCTTTAAAAATTCAATATACTTCCACTGAATGAAAGGGTGGATAACTTTTAACTCAAAAAAACCACAGGGAATGTTTTTAATGTGTTTCATTTTTAAATGAGCAAGATTGAGCTATGGGATGCCGAGCTGAAATGCAGAGAAAATCTTCACATCTGATTATTGAACCTCCAAAAATCAAGTTATATTTCCATTTCTGACAGGCTTCTAGCTAGGAGGGTCCTCGAGGGCAGCTTATGTTACTGAAAATTGGCACCGCACAAGGAAGATCAGGACTGGGAGGGCAAATGATCCGGGTACTATTATTAAACTTACCACATACTGCCAGTGACTCTGGTCAGATCACTGAGGTAATGTCTACATTGCAGCTCAGAGTGTGGTCCGCCATTTGCACCAGTGGACTCGAAGGAGTGTGCTAGAAACAGCAGTGTGGACCCTGTGCTCAGGCACTGAAATTTTAGGGGGCTGGGCTGGACATCCTGAGCATCAGCCAGAACCACAACTCTACTGTTATTTTTAGTGCACTATTTCAAACCCCAGTAGGATGAGTCTGCCTAGGCTGGGAGGCTTCCTTCAAGCTGCCATGTGTGTAGACATATCTGAGAGCCTGGCCCAAAACCCACTGAAGGCAGTAGAAAGACTCCCATTAACTTTTTGGGGCTTTGGATCAGGCATTTAGGGCTCAGTTATGAGCTGCTTTATGCACTGCACAGGGGAGTAATGGGTATAAAGTTGCCTCTTAGGGCACGTCTATACAGCAAGGCAAAAGCCAAAATAAGTTATTCAACTAAGCTACGCAATTGATGTAGCTCAAGTCGAAATAGCTTATTTCAGCTTTTGGCACTGTCTACACAGCAAGAGGTCTGAGGAAGAGCATTGCCTGTAGTGTAGATGCGGACTATGTTATTTCAAAATACCGTCAATCATTTCCAAATAATGCTGCTGTGTATTTCACAGCTGTGAATAAAAACTCCTGAAATAGCTATTTCAAAATATTGCATCCACAAGACAAATGCAAGAGAAATTGCACATCTGCACTGATTGGAGGCTGAATCACATATAAAGTCACCTGGAAGCACTGTGGGCTGGGCATCCAGACAGCAGCCATTTCCTACAGCTGTGCCTGGGGCTCATGCTTAAAGGGGTTACCCTCTACGGCCATGTCGCAGGCCCTTCACCTTTGCCTGTTTCCTTGGGGGACAGCAAACTCATCTCACTGCCTGCTCTGGTTGCCCTTCTAGGCATCACAGCACTCCAGCCATGGAGCTAGACCTGCTGCAAAGCACTCACCGGCTCTTACACCTCCTGCTGCACCGCCTGTGCAGTTACTGGAGGCTGCCCTCCTGGCTCTGCAGGAACAGGACCCATCACTTCCTGTGAGGCATCTCCTCACCTTTGTCCATGTGGTGCTCGTGCAGCATAGCCTCACCTGCTTTCCCCTGCACACCGTGCACTGCCGCTTCTGGTGACAAGACACCAGTACTGACTGGTGGGACCAGATTGTCATGGAGCGGTGGGACGATCAGCAGTGGATCCAGGACTTCCACATGCAGAAGGACACCTTCCTGGAGCTGTGTGAGTGGCTCGCCCCTGCCCTCAGATGATGGCACATGCCCTCAGATGATAGTCACATGTGACCCGCCATCTCCCTCCAGAAGTAGGTCGCCATTGTACTTTGGAAGCTCACCGGACAGCTACCACTCCGTTGGGAATCAGTTTGGCATGGGGGGTTTGACGCTCTCATGCTATTGTCCCAGAAGGGTGGTGAATCACTGGAATGGCGTTGCCTAGGGAAGGCGGGGTGGACTCTCCCTCCATGGAGGTTTTGCAGTCCCATCTTCCCAGAACCCTGGCGGAGATGGAGTTAATTGAGGTTGCTCCTGCTTTGGGAGGGTTTTTGGGCTTGGGGAACTCGTGAGGGTTCTGGCAACCTGATGATTTTCTGTACACTCTCACATACGATGGTGGTGAGGGCCATCAATGCCATCCTGCTGCGCAAGGTCATCATCCTGGGTGACATGGACCCTGCTGACTTCCCCAACTGCAAGGTGGCCATTGATGGCACCCACGTCCCCATCTGGGCCCCCAACCACCTGGCCTCTGATTTACATCAACTAGAATAGGTACTTTGCAATCATGCTGAAGGCCCTCGTGGACCACCTATACCACTTCACTGACATCAACGTTGGGGAATCAGAGAAGGCACATGACTCCTACATCTTCAGGAACTCCAGGCTGTTCCGGAGGATGTATGACAGCACATTTTTCCCCAACCACACAACCAGGGTTGGGGACATGGACATGCTGATGTGCATCATGGGGGACACAGCCTACCCTCTGCTCCCCTGGCTAATGAAGCCCTACACGGGACACCTGGACCCCAACAAAGGAATGTTTCAATGACAGGCTTAGCAGGGCCCACATCATCATGGAGGGCACTTTCAGGTGTTTGAAGGGGAGGTTCTTCTGTCTCCTCACCCTCCACAACCTCTGCAAGTGGAACGTCTCCCAGATGGTATCAGACTACTGTGTCATGTACAACTTGTGAAAGAACAATGGGGAGACATTCCTGCCAGGGTGGGGGTCAGGGGCTCAGCAGCTTGAAAGGGCCTTTGAACAGACATGTACTACTGCCATCTGGCTGGCCCATCCAGAAAGCTGTGTGTATCCAGAAGACCCTGCAGGAGAGTTTCATACAAGGACATCTGTGACACTCTCCCCTGGGCCTCCCCACAAGGGGCTTCTGCAGTGCACCTCCGTGCCTTTCCTTCTGCACCTTCCTTCCCCAGCCTTCCTTTCTCCCTGCCCCCTTCTCCTGCAGATGCAATAAACCAGACTTTTTGTTTTCAAAGAATAACCAGTTTTTATTTGGGGTAAATATAACTGGGGAGGGACCGGGGAAAGAATCTGGGAGAAGAGAGGTGGAAAGGGGGGAGGTGCTCAGGGCTGGGGCTGTTGCCTGCCTCAGGTGGTCCCACCACCTCATGTGTGGGGTCCTCAGCAGCCATGGGGAGATGAAGGGGAGAAGTCAGAGGGGCGGGGCAGAAGCAGGAGGTCAGGGGACTGCTCAATGGCAGTCACCAGGCGGTGGCGGTGTAGGCCACACACATGCTCCAGGTCTCTTGGGGCAACTCCCGCTAGATGGTGCGGTGCAGCTCCCTGTCAGCATGGCACTCCTCCAGGCCGGCAGCCACCCTCCAGTCCTTCCATTCCAAAAACTGCTGCAAGGAATGCAGGCAGGCAACATGTTCCTGCTGCAGGTCTTCCTGGGATCATCTGCAGTGGCAGCTCTCACAGGGTCATGAAGCTGGTGTGGGAAGTATTGGACATGCTTCTCATGCAGCTGGTCCTGCTGTGAAGAACAGAGAGAAGGGCAGTCATCCCATGAGACAGGGAGCCTGAAAAGCCTAGCCCTCATGTGTGAGCCAACACTAAAAGGTCTCATTTCACACAATGGTGATGTGCCTCAAGCAAGGCCATCTGTGGCCTAGACAGCGGGCACTGTCCTGCAAGAGCACAGATGTCCCAGGGGAGCCTCGCTACCCCCATGTCCCAAAGACAAGAAGGCATGAGAAGGTGCCGGTCATGCCAGGAGCCTGCAAGTGGGAGGGAGTAACAAGGCAGTTCACCTTCCTTCAATGCTGCACAAACTCCAGGTCTGGCAATGGTGGCATCCCACAGGGAAAGGACTTGCTGCGCAGACACTCACCTTATTTCAAAATAACACTGCAGTGTAGACATGCCCTTAGTGCGCTGTGTAAATTAACAGAATTGCTAGTCCATGTGCAAGAAAACCTCAACTATTGCAGGGCCTTTCTCACTCCCAGGTAAGTGGGTAGACAGTAGACAAGCAAAAGGAGAGTGGGTGGAGCCTTAACTTAGCTTGACACCAAAAAGCCAGCCAAAATATCTTGCTTTCTCTGTGAGCAAGAGGGAATCAGGAACTGGATCAGAACTAACTGAGTCAGTTTAGTCCCTCATCTGCTTCTGGGGCCACAGGTCTCATGTCAGTTCTATGCATAGTCCTTGACCTCTATGCTTAAAAACTAAGAACAAGACTTACATAGTTGTATGCGGTGCTGTTATTGTCATGCTGATCCTACCTTATCAAAGAGGCATGAGCGGGGGATAAGGTGATATGTTTTATTTGACCAGCTTCTGTTGGTGGGACAGATGAGAACTCACGCTTACACAGAAGTTGATCCAATAAAAGATATTGTCTCACCTCCCTTGTCTCATTTTCAATGCCTTCTGTTGGTAAAAGAAACTTTCAAGCTTACACAGAACTCTTCTACTTGTCAAACAATGTGGTGAGGTTCATTTTATTAATAATGTTGGTGAAGCACTTTGAGAATTTTGCAGAGAAGGCATTAGACAAAGTTTTGTAAATAACAATGCAAAAAGAAAAAAAAAGGTATAATGATGATGGACCCCAAAACAGCTAAACTACAGCAATCTATATCTATATGTCAAATCCAGATTTCAGCTCCTTACAATTCATCTGGAAGGGAGCTCATTTGCAACACAAGCCAATATAGTGTTAGTATTAGCTACCAAATTCATCCAGATCCAGGCTTTGACTCACACACATACTTGGTATGTTGAGATCCAGGGACTGGTTCAGGCCCACTGCTACTTAAAAATACTTAAAAACACATTAACTCAGAGCAATCTCACATCTTCCCTTCAAATAATTTTTGAGAGAGCAATATAATTGCAGTTATTAGGTCAATTTAATATAATATATATGTTTTAACCTTCACTTCTCTTGCCGAATTGGGGGTCATGACTCATCGACACACAGTCTTCAAAGTCTGCCAGCCTGGATGCTTTCCCTAATGATATTGCTTGCTTTGTGGGTTGATATAGTGACAGCTGAAAAAAATGCTTATTCTTTGAAAGGTCAGAGTACAGCTTAATCCACATCAGAGCGACCATTTTCTGCAAAGCTTATTGCTGAAACATAGATTTTAACCTTTTTACTTCTCAGCTTTTCAGACTTCTTTTCATTTACTGTGCTCCAGACTGACACACCACATATCTTACTTTCTAAGTTTCCTTTCTTCTCTTTAAATGCTAAGCTTGGTGGATCAGAAAGTATATTCTTCCTTCATAATATTCCATCTTAAGCAAAAGACTGGTGTTTCAGAGATTTGTGCTAAACAATTCATATAACTTATATTGCATGGTGATCCTATGCTTTTTGGTAACAATCATATCTGAAAGCATCCACCAATGGTTTTTCACTACAGACAAAACTTGTATACCATTCTTTTATGCTGGTTGCAGTCAAAGTGTTATGAATAAGCAACTCAGATTGAAGTCAGTTTTCTCAGAGCAACAGTACACTCTTATTCTCTCTGTAATAATATCAAAAGCATATTCCTCCAATGCAATAGTCCCAAAATAGTCCATAAACTATATAGAGCAGAGCTACTCAACTTTGGAAGCCCCAGGGGCCACAACGATACTCACAGCACATGCTGAGGGCTGCAACTTAAGTGTGGTTGCATATACATGCAAATATATATGCAAATATATGCAAATAGCTTCTTTCACTGATGGACGTAAATACAAAGATTAAGGGAAGACTACACCACATTCAGGGTCAATTTAAGTCACTTCTGCTGATATTAATAAAATGCAATATTTACCCAATTTCCACCCATATGACAGCACTTTTAATGAGCAATGACAGTCCAGGAATTTAACTACTAAAACGCATATCAACAGAAGACCATTATATTGACTCACTGTTGTGGAGCGTGTTCCCAGTGGAGGCCATGTTCAAAGGATCCCACCTGTGGGACACACCCTGTGTAAATCCAAACTGCACTGTGGACCACAGGAGGCCAATGAGCCACATATTGAGTAGCCTTGATATACAGCATCTAATGCCAAATTTACATACATAGGGGACTATAATACACTGTTACAAAAGAATTTTACAGATTACAAGTTTTTTTCATTACAACTAGAGAAACAATTTAGGGTGGCCAAAAGATACTTGCAAGTACCTAATAAGCAATCAATAGAAAATCAGTAAACAAAATATAATTATACTACAGGAGTGATCAGAAAATTATTATGTGATTACATAACAGTTCAAATCCTTTTCAGATCACTTTACTGATCTCACTTGGCACAAAAAAATCAATTAAACAGCTTCTCATAGCAAGTAAATAATGGCCAAAGGTTATTTTTTTTTATGAAGCAGTTCTGTTGTACATTTCAGGGAGATAAATGTATATAGTTAAATATTAAGATATTTGAAACCAGTCATTTATAACTGGCAATCAAGGTTAATTACAACTTTATTAACTGAATGTGCATGGGTTTAAATTATTTTAACTCTATTGAGAAAACAACATACCAATGAATTGACACACCAGGTCTAGAGGCGTTGTATTGTTCTACTACATAGAAAAGACATTCCTTCTTTTGCTTTGTAGAGCCAAATTCTTCCCTAGTCTATAATTCATAGAGCACTACTGTAATCAATGCATTGCATGAGGTATAAGCCGGGGCCATATATGGGCCATACACACCACATAAAAAACACATGTATTGCTTTGTGCCTGGTATACATTATAAAAATAGTTAATTTTAAAAACTAGAGAAATGCGGCCATTTCTGAGGTTAGGGGCAATAGCCAGGCAGAACACCCAGGCTACATCTAGACTGGCATGATTTTCCGGAAATGCTTTTAACGGAAAAGTTTTCCGTTAAAAGCATTTTTGGAACAGAGTGTCTAGATTGGCATGACGCTTTTCCACAAAAGCACTTTTTGCGGAAAAGCATCCGTGGCCAATCGAGACGCGCTTTTGTGCAAAAGGGACTTTTGCGCGAATGGGAACAGCATAGTATTTCTGCAAGAAGCACTGATTTCTTACAGTAGGAAGTCAGTGCTTTTGCGGAAATTCAAGCAGCTGATTTTCCGGAAAAACTGGACAGTCTAGACACAGCCCCATTGTACAACAAGGGCATGAAAAGATTTGATTAGCAACACTGTTCAACAAATACAATGATATCTTTAATGTCTGTAAAGAACAATCAAGACCTTAGTGTTTAAAACCCTGATCCCAACTGAAGTCAATTCATAGGAGATTAGGTTGGAAGAAATCTCAAGAGGTCATCTAGTTCAACCCCTGCTCAAAGCAGACCAACCCCAGCTAAATCATTCCAGCCAGTGCTTTGTCAAACCAGCCCTTAAAAACCTGTAAGATGGAGATATCACCACCTCGCTAGGTAATCCATTCTAGTGCTTCACCACCCTCTTAGTGAAATACTTTTTCCCAATATAGAATCTGTATCTCCCCCACTACAACTTCAGACCATTGGTCCTTGTTCTGTCACCTTCTATTGCTGAGAATAGCCTGGCTCCATCCTTTTTAGAATCCCCCTTTGTGTAGTTGAAGGCTGCTATTAAACCCTCCCTCTTCTCTTCTGCTAACTAAATAAACCCAGTTAGGGTATTGTCGTTTACTTCAATAAAAGCAAAATCAGTGCCTAAGTCCTTACCCAATAAAAAGACATGACAATATTTCTCTCAACAGGAGGAAGGGATAAGGTGGCCATGTCTGAATTTAAATCTGTAGTTTCAGACTTAGCTGTTAGGCCATTCAACCATGCCTGTCGTATTTAGGCACCAAAAATTACCACATAAGAAGCATGATGGAGCACAAATTGATTGGAAAATGGTTCCGTATGAATTCAACAAAGCAAATATGGTTACTTTTTACACCATGAATTTTATGCTCAGCATTTAAAGCATTCACCGCATAAGATATTTCAAAGCCACACATCATTTGTGATCATCATTTATAGCTTATGAAGGAGACCATTTCCACAGGGATCCATGCATACTACCTAGTCTCAGTAAAATTTAATTCTTATTCACTGATGCAAGCAGTAAAATTCAGGGGAAAGTGGATACTTATATAATCACCTAATTACAACAGAGCTGCACAGAGATGTAAACAGTAGAAATGTTCAAAAGGGGTGGTTTCTTCACAACTGCTTATACCATTGTTTGCCATTTAATTCTAAACAATTTTGTGCTCCACACACTTCCATTTCAACCAGGCCATATTTGTCATTTCACATTTTGATTAGTTTGTTTTTTTTAGGTTCTCATACACTGGGCTAGAGCAGGGAAACACTGCCTGGACATGTGCATTTGAAAGAGGCAGGATATAATATTTCTTTCTCCCCAAAGCAATTCCATTCAACAGTCAAACACAGCACAGATGGTGAAAGGGGACAGAGAACAATTAAAGATTATAAGACAATAAGAAACTCATAGCATCATAGAATCCTAGGGCTGGAAGACACCTCAAGAGATTATTGAGT